TTTACAAACTATAAATAAAATTCACTCATGCAAACAACTTGGCACTAACTCTCTTCCACATGTAATTGAAACCAGCTGAGGAATCGTGTCTCTAAAAAGGGGGATGTCAAAGAGTAAACACAAACTTAAACACAGCAATATGAATTCAACAGTTATGTATACAGAATACTTGTCTTTGTGTTCACTCACCAATACAGTACAAAGCATATATCAAATTGATTTGGTTTTCTTTCTTTTTTACTTTCATTTTGGCTAAATTTCATGCCGGAAGTTACATGGTGTGCTAAAGCATCAGGCTTTTGTATTTGGAGGTCTGGGTTCAAATCCACTCGATTAATTTGTCCCCTCGATGTGGTCATTTGCATGTCTCCAAATCACCGTGTAACTTGACTTGGTTATACCTTGTGCCTGAGGGACTAAAAATGCCATGAGTGTCTTGCTCCTGGACTGAGGTGCATTGCTAAATTTGAAGTACTCTCAAGAAAGTGTCTTGATTCATCAATCAATCACACTTATATATATATATATAAAAATATATATATAGTGTATATATTATATATATATATATATATATATATATAACCTGAGAAACCCATGGAAAAGAAATTTTAAAAAAGATGAGACTGAAGGGCTGCCTGGCTTGTGCCACAAGCAATGTTTAATGGTCATTTTTACAGCAAGGAAACCTGTCAACGTATAAAGGTCACTGGCCAGGAATGTAAGGAAATAAGATAAACTTATCTAGGTGTGAGCATTTAAATGTGTGTATAAATCCATGGATATAAAAGAATGTACTGGAAGAAAAAATACCAGTGTTTCAATACGTAGATTCATCTACTTCCACACGCTAAACAAAGCTTGACAAATATTGCTAACAAATTGCAATATGCTCCTGCAGAATAAAAACAAGCAAAGGGAAGGGTTTCTTGGATTAATGCGTGAACAGCTGCATCTCCAGTTTAGTCTCCTGGCTGGTATGAATAATGTATGGACTAAGAGGCAAAATGCACATTAATGTTCTTTTATTAATGAAACTAATATATATCTATATTTGGTGGCCAGCAGTAAATTAAGACAAGTGAAAAGAATAACAGTCACTGCTCACTTCCATAAAATTCAGTTACTTTAATCCAGTAATTACTGATCTGACAGAAAATATCAGCCCACAGCTAAAATAAGGCTCTTCCCATTGCAAATCCGCCACATATATCAAAGTGGTTGTAGTTTTTGAAAATCTGTTCATAAATACACAGTGTAGTGTTTTCCAAGATAAAAAATAGATTTGCATGGCTCATGAGTCCTGTAACTTCAAGTATTAGAAATCAGGATGAAGACACTCTTTAAGGAAAAATCCTGGAAAAATTCTAACTGCACCTTAATATGTCAGTGACAGAAACAATGATTTCAAAATAATGCTCTGTTACTACAAATTAGATGCATTTCCAAGAATGGCTTGGTAACCATTTGGTGCTGGGTGTCAGGATTACTAAATGTTGATGCAAAATACATTAGTTCTTAATGAAGTACTTCAGACCCATCACCACCAAATTATTAGAAGCAATCCACTTACCTTCTGCTGGATGAGAAGCTCTACATTTTCTCATATGGATTGCAGGAGGGCAGCTGCATATCTTAAATAAGAATGCTGTCTTTACATTTTTGATGCCATTACTCTCATGTAGTGCTCAAAGTTCTCAATCTCTAACCTAGAGCTGGGAAAAATAAAATGTCAAAATGTGATAATAAAAATCTGGGATTTGCAGCCCTGTGAAACATAAGTGCACTTGAGATCCTCCTATTATTTATTGAAAGAGTACCTTGAAGTAGAAATGCCCTGGAAATCCATAATGGACTGGTTCATGCACCGGCGAACCACCCAGATGAGCAGCAGGTGAAAGAGCACATCTGTTAAACCAAGGCAATGAGTATACGAGGCCTTTGTTACAAAAACACCAATAATAATGAAAAAGCTGATTTTTGGAGCATGTCCATGTGCACAAGGAAGTACAGTAGGTGAAAATCACCTTTACAAAACACATGCAGTCAATACTCTCGTGTATCTATCTTACCATCTTCTCTGCATTCCAAAGGATGGATCTATCATATTTTGAAATTCTTTCAAGGTAAAAAGTAACCGCGACATCATTAAATGAAAAATAGCATTTTTGCAGAATGCAGAGACACAATATCATCAGCAGTGTATTACACACTGGAAGTGTCCAATGTGCCCAATGGAACATAGGGCAAAATGAGCCTTTTCTTGCAAGTGCTACAGGGCCTGAGCACTCTGTGGCTAGAAGTGCCCCATTTCATAGTTTTGACATGGTAAACACCAAACATTGGAATATGACCTGTGTATTTTTGTTCTCACTATATAAATACTGACCTCTTTGACTCTCTGTGGCTTTGTAACTTTTTATTCAATAAACTCTTCGGGTGAGAAAGGCTCTGGATGTCTCTCAGCCCAGGAGAATAACCACAATAATGCCCCAGACTCTAGAAATATGTCTTTACAAAGACTGATTAGATCAAATCCAGGGCAAAGACTGGATAAAAATGTAAAGAAAGTAACAAAATATCTCAGGAAGTTTCTGAAGGGTTAGGAAGCCAGAAATATTTGGCCCTACAAACTACAGCAGCATAAGGTGCTAGTTTAGGTGTGAGACCGTCATGGGGTTTTGCTTAATATCTTTTATTATTGAGGGAGTGCTTTTATGTATATTTAAACAATAGATTTAAAGAAGAGTCTCTAAAGCTTTCCCAACAATCATAGAAATATAATATCTTAGGGTTTATTTCTACAGACATCTTTGAAAAGATGTTCTGGTACCTACTTATCTTTGTTCTTTATAAAAAGCAATATCCTAAAACCCCAGTTTTCTTATACATTCCCTTATGTGTCAGTTATCTAAATTTAAATACCTTCAGGTTTTGCATATACATTTGCCATTCCCATATAGTAAGTTTTAAAAATAAATTCTCAATTTAATACAAGTATTTTTATGTATTCAACAAGAAATGTTCAAATTTCTCAGGGGAGAGTATCTGTTACCACAGGATGATGTGATGTGGTTTAAACTTTAAATAAATGCTTATTTCCTGTAAGCATAAAAAAATATTCTTTAAATGGAAATCTGTATTTTATAGAGTGGTAATATATGCCATTCTTTTCAATTTTCACACAAAATTACATACTGTAAGCAGTATATTCACTGTGTGTAAAAGATCTAGGTATTCTTCTGTTTCACATTAAAAATAATCAAAAACTGAATTGGTTCAAGGCTAAGAAACATAGAAGGCATTGAAAATACTAATTAGAGCTCTTAACCAAAAGATAGCAGTAAACAAAGAAAATGGCAGATGCAAAGTGTTGGATTTTGTAGCAATTATTATTTAAAATATAGGAATGAACTTATCAAAATGGATCACTTTACCCTTTTAAAGTAGCACTATATGGTTTCTAGACACAAAAAAACATCATTCAGCAATATAGCCTAACTAAATCCATTTGCTATAATAGTTCTGTACTCCTGTCCATCTTTCTGACTCTGTTACATCATTATTGAATGCTGGTTGCATTATTTGAAAGCCTGGATTGCTATAATGCTATTCTGCGGATTTAGTTTTCATTTTAGTCTCAACAATATGTTGGCTATAAATACATCTCTGTTCTCCTGTGAGGCTCACACTGTAACTGGTAAATTTTCTAGAGGAATCAGTCATGCATATCTTAAGAGAACACAATAAATTCTTTGAAGCAGAATAACCTTTTGGCTGCATTCCTTTAAATAGACCTTTTCATTATAGGGACAAATTTTTCAAGCCTTATGAGTGAAACCTATTTAGTTCTCAAAGTTATCTTTTTCCAGTGCCATGATCAGATACTTAGTTGCATTTTGTAAGTCATTTTACTGGTCACCTGCCTTTTCCCATTTTGCTTTTTCCAAAACAGTGATGGGTTGGGATTTAAGGGGGCAGCCCTGCTTCAGAAGCAGCTAACCATGTGTCAAAGTGCTCTTGCTGAATCAAGGCCATCCTGTTGAATTTATAAATATAGAGTGATTTCAGGGACTGCAGTCTAAGATTTCATAATCAAGAAGAGAGCAAAACCCAGTACTGTGCTTGAAGCTGATAGTCAGACCAGGGCTACCCTTACTTGGGTTGAAGTTTCACCTCTTAAATGTGCCAGAAAAGCAGAAGAAAGAATGTGGCTGGGAGTTACAGCCATCTTATTAAGAATTGCTTTCTCAATAATGGCAGAATGATCAAAAATTAATGCCCATCAAGTAAATATTGCTCTTTCCCATTCCTGGATACCTTAGCTAAACATGGATAAAATTAGCAGAGTATTGAGTTCAGTAGACCTTGGTTAACAGGAAGAGACAATGTGGTCAGGCTGAACAGGTCTTTCCGTCAGAGCTCTTCAGCGTTCTCCCTAAGAACATCCATTGAGCGGCATGATGTGTCAAGGAGCTGGGCTAGCTCCCTTCGGTGTTTGTTTTTCTCTCTTGTCTGACAACTTCATCACAATCCATCTTTGTTAGCTGGTTGCACTGACTTGAACACGGGTGAGTGTGTATCAGCCTTCATTAGGTCAAATCAAAGACAAGTGTACATCTCTGCCTTGCCTGTAGAAACAGATTTATACTTTGAGAAGGATGGGGGGAAGGTCACTTGGTATTTGGCTTGAAATTTGATCCTGTTAAAGGATGAAATTAATAACATCCAGAAGTAGAACATATGGCATCCATATATATGGCATTGTATCTGCTTGATGATGTCACGCTACCTCTTAAGGTCTGGGAAATGCACTTTTTAAAGTGTTTAGCTGTGTTGTGGGCTCAACCTTTCAGACCTGACTGAGACAGAGCAGGCTTAATTTGGTCTGAACATTTATTATCCCTGGTATTTGCAGGCCACATAAAACCTCATGGTTTTCATTATCTTTGCATTTCACACACAGCCTAATTTCATTTATTCTTATTTTATGCCCCTGCCAGACCACCGCTCTTGATAAGGAGAGGCAGGTTTTCCGACGAAGACGCAACCAGGATGTGAGGGGACGTTATAAGGCTCAGCAAGCTCCACCCGAACTCAACTCCGAATCGGAAGACTATTCACCAAGCTCCTCCGAGACTGTTCGCTCACCTAACTCACCCTTTTAATAAAACACTTTTTCTCAAAAGCCTTGGCTTTAACCCTTTGAGACCCTGAAACTACTTCAGGCCTGTGTGGAGTGAATACAGCTGATCTACCCAGCAAATAAAAGCTGGGATGGTGGAACGCAAAAGGGTGCTCACAGAATCTTTGTAAGAATAATTTCCTAATTGATTGAAATACTTGTTCTCTGTTTAGATTGCAACTTGCTGCTAATAAGATCCTCAAAGGGTTAAGGCTATTTTGCTTTTTTATTTAAGGATAGAAGCAGTGAATGTTTTCATCAGTGGAGCTAGGAACTGCAGTATGTAATTTTAGCACATGTTAACCCTCTGAGTAAATGATCACCTTAAATCTTGACAACCCGTATTAGGGTTTTATTCTGGCTTTTTTGCTTTTATACGCACATATCTTTTATAGTATCCTGGAGTTCCTTGCCTGTTTCTGGCCAAAAATATATCAATTGTATTATTGCTTAGGAATTATAAATATAGGCTTAAAAATGAAAATAAAATTAAACAAATGGTATCTTCTGCAGCAGCTCATTCCAAACCTGCATTGTATTTCCACACGGAGTGACCGTTATTGGAGGATATGATGCAGGGCTAAATGGGAAATTCAGTTTAGGTCATTCTCATAGTTTACAGAAGATGACATGATGATGGCCACAAAAGATTGCTTCCATATAGTTTGCTGCTAATGATAATGTCGAGTTTTGGGAAATTGCTTGAGGACACGTTCTGCCATGTAATAGTATGTAATGATTTAGTTGAGAAGTTCCTGGTTCCTTTGCATCACATTCCGGAATGCAGAGGCATCCTCTGAGCATGACCTGGTTATTCTGGCAGAGCCATTTAGAAATATTAACGCTGATGAGCATTGCCCTTTAAATAGCTAGAGTACTTCTAAATCGGGGAAAATACAAGTAATTTAATATATATGTAAAGCCTAAACAGAATTAGCAGAAGTTTTGTCTTTAGAATGGAGAAACTAAAAATGATTCACCAGTTTTATTTGTAATATTTAATAAAATGGGCATTTACACAGAGTATATATATATATTACTGGTTTGTTAAAACCTCTAGACAACATTATAGCTTTTTATTTGACCATTATCATAAAGTTGGCTTCCACAGAAATATTACAGTGTATAGACTTTTGCTTCAGATGTGATAATTTGAAAAAAAAGAAAAAAGATGGCTCAGAATTTCACTTGAATGAAAGAAAGAACTTTTCAAAATCATGTTCTAAAATAAAAAACATTGTGAAATTTATAGTTTCTCTTATTGCTCATATAAAATTGAAGTGTTCTCCTCTAAAGTTAAAGTTTTCTCACAGTGTTTTTTAAAATTCATGTGGTTTCCTCTCTCTCTTTCTCTTTCTTTCTCTCCCTCCTCCTCAACCTTGCCCTTTATCTTACCTTTATTCTTCCTTCCTTCCTTTTTCTTTCCTGTTACACAGCCAGAAGTATCAATATACCACCCAAAATGACATGCAGGTATTCTCAGCTTTCTGGGAAGTATAAATAAATTTTTCAGGAGCAGGGCAAGTTGCCCACAGTATCACTCCCGTTCTGAGTGGTGTTTGTTCACGGAACTGTCCGTATGAGCGGTGGTGGCAGCCAATGTAGACCTGCAGCTGGTGGGGGCTAGTGTAAAGCTCTTTGCGCTTCTAGGTGGAAGTATCAGTTGAACTGTAGTTCAAGAAACATTGGAATTCTGTTTCTCCATGCTACGGAGTGCATCTTTCATTGCCTCAGACGTGAAAAATTATATATTGAAAGCTCTGAAGACTTTAAACACAGGAATTTAATCTTGTGGATCTTCACACAAGTGGTATAAATATTTCTTTTTTATTTTTTTTAATCTACCTGATATTGATGGTCTAGAAGTGAGGTATTTAGTAGAAACTAATTCTCCAGACTTCCTGGGCAATACAGAGAGATAAGAATTCCAGGTTTGATTCATCTCACCTGACATGGGCACACATTTTAGGTGGGACTCATGTTTTGATTAGCCTGTTGGTCTCACTCCATCAACTGTAGAAGGAACTGCTGGTAGAAGTTTACATCAGACACCAATTTCAGATTATGAGTTTACTAGAAAGTCATCTAAGCCATGAGGAGACTGATCTCTGAATGCATGTCTGTGGACAGAAGGCCTGTGTAAGGCCTGAGTTGCTCTGTCTGGAACCTGAGTAACAACATTTTAAAGCAAGTGAAGCAAATAAGAGAACTCCATTGGGACAGGAGGCGAAGGGACAAAGGAACTACCATACAAAACTTCTCAGATTTTAGGTTTTGGGAAAGGGTTGTGTCTGTGTGTCAGATCCTTCACTATAACCATCCAACCCTCAACTCATTGTGGAGAGAAGTTGCTCAGTAGATAGGGAGCAACCACTGTCATCTTAATGGTTGTACATTCATAACTTTTGAATGGGACAAGGATTTTTTTTCCATAGGATCAAAACCTCAGTCAAGATAAAGCCTTCCTTGCCACTTACCTACCCTAATTTACAGTAGGTCAGAATCTGGCACAAATTTGACCAGCACTGACCTTCCCACATTTTATCACAGTCTTCCCTTTAGAAGAGATACAGCTCAGCCATGTAAATGTAAGACATACATGTGGTAATAAAAAAGTGTCCATTAATACCACATGCTCCTTGACTATTGTGAAATTTGGCAGTCTTAAACCAAAGGCCAATGTTCATTCTTCTTAATTAGAGAGGGAAGTCAGAAGAAAAAAATTACGTTTCACTTTATGCACGAGAAATATTATTCAAAAACCCATCTGGGATTTTCCAATCACATTTTCTTTGCTTTGGAATACAGGGTTATCATTAAAATAAGATGTTTGGCTCCTTCATCTTAGACCATCTTGTATTACTTAAAATGTGTGTAAAAATAATCTTAGATCCTGAAAATCCTACTCATCCCCAACATCTTATGTTTCTGATTGTTGGTTCATGTTTTATGAACATAAATATAAAAATATTTAAGTTATTTTTAGGTTTGTGAGAGACTGGGTTTCAAATTGCTGATATCCTATATTAGGTTTCAAGGAAAGGTATCTGAATATTTGAACTGTTTCAAAAGTGTTTACAATGATGTTTTTAAATCTATCCATATACCCATAGATATATATTTTAATATATCCATATATATGTATATATATTTATGGTTTCATGGAAGTTATAATGGTTTAGGCTTGTTTGGCAGTGACTGCCATATTTTTTAGTCTAATCTCTGAATAATTCTTGGGGGTAAGTGAAGACAGAATATGTGGCCCTATAAATATTTCAAACACCAATGAAAAAAAGAAATCAAGCATAATAGACTATTTCTAATGTGAAAATCTGGGAGAGCATACCGTGGTCATTTTACTGTAATACAGACCAGTCCTTCTGACTTCTTTCCTCGTTTGCCTTTTGAATCATTGGCTGGTATTGCTGCTAAATGTGACAACAATTGTTTTAGTTAGCAGAGATGGATGGCAGTTGGGGTAGGCACCATCTATCACCGAGGAGATGGAGACGAGCACTTCCGAAGGGTGACTCAGGTCATCTAATGTTTGCTCTCTGGAGATGCCTGACAGCCTGATCTTAGAATTAGCAGGAAAGTAGAACAGGGTCACTTCCAGCTCAAGTCCTCTCAATTAAATATAAGCAGGGATAACGTGGACTCTAACCTAAGTGGGATATTCTAGTGAGCTTACATGCAGTGAGCAAACTTTGATGTGAAAATGAAAATGTAGTACGGGCTAGCACAGGATTTGCTAAAAGGGAGTGAGCTGGGAATTGTCTCATCCAGATATATCTGTCTAAGCGTTGAGCATCTAATATAGGGCAGTAATCTAATCTTCCCATACAGGTGCTAGAGGGTGGTTTCTCTAACAGATAATTAAAATTCTAGGATGGATTAATCACTCATGAGATGAGGTGCCTAGCCCAAACATATTTAGAATATGATTTATTAAGTCATGACATATAAATTAGTATTTCGGTGAGTTATAATTTTCACAGCATTAATGTACAAAAAATCCAGAATACTATGGTTCTACTCAGAGGGTTAACAGAAAAGCACTAGGCATGCTGATTACATTGGTGTATCCAAACTGCTTTGCTTTTTTAGCCAGTGTTTGCTGATTTTTTCAGAAAATTCTTGAAAAAAATTCAAGTTTGAAATAATTTAAGTGTTGTTGTTTAAGGAATTTCTATAACCAAATTAATCTTATTTTTAGCTCACGTTATCACAGGAATAATATGTATCATTGATGCAGTGTAAGTCTGTAGTTACCAATTTTATTAATTCCACAAGTGATTCCAGAAATCTCTCTTTTTTTAAGTACTTATTATAGAGCTTACAATGGTGGCATAGGTGACTGAGACTGTCTTTCTTATTGGTAAACAAACAATATTGTAATTTCAAGAAAGTCCTAAGAATCAGCTTTTCAGTTTGGTAGTGTACTAGTTAGGGGAAAGCTATTTCATTACATGCATTGTGTAAATCATCTTTGTAGATGAAGATTGTTCATATTAATGAACACATTCTTTTTTCCTTGACATTGTAGCAGAAACTGTTTACTTGTTAATGAACAACCAATACATTAATTTGCTTCAGACTGTTAGAGGGGAAAGTGAGATTCGAGTCATTGACAATGTTATTGCTTTACAGTAGCCCTCATCTAATTAAATGTGGTGCATACTACAATAAGCAAAGCCAAACCTGTGAATAAACTCCTGAAAAAGCCTGGTGGGTCTTTATTCAGTTGGGTGCTTGCACACAGTATCATGTGACAGCAGGAAGGCTTTCAAGAATTGTTGAAATGAAAGCGATATATCCACAAATAAGAGCTAAATTGCAATCCTCTCCCTATGGGGCATATATGTTTGAAAAGAAAAAATAAAGAAAAGAAAAGAAAAATTGGCTCAGAGGTTTGCAGTGGTACTATATTACCACAGGGCAAGTACATTAAATCATTGTTATTTGCTAGCCTGGGGTATATGTTGGAAAATGGCATCTTTTTTATTTAGTTTAGATTGTGGGCAGGGAGAGCTTTCCTAATATTATTGCAGTGCCTGCTAGTGCTGCCATGGTTTACTCTGTGTTAGTATTTCCATTATAAACTCTTAGTCTCAAAGGTTTTTAATTTGATTGTAAAAATTTGCTTCAGGCAGAAACTTGGCATACAATTTTTCAGCTCAGAGCGGTTCTTTTCCTAAAATATGAGGGAAATCAGCTTGACCTCTTCAACATTTATTTTCTAAGTGTACACAAACATTTGTGGACACAAAGGCGGTTTTTATGCAGCTCATTTCAGATGTGTCACGTTCTCAAGCATGTCTCACAGGTCTTAACTACAAAGGTGACAGCTCAGAACTTTTGGGCATTTTGAAAACCAGGAGGAAAACTCAATGATCAAGAGCAAAAATGTTCCACATGTGGAAGAGTTTTATTTTGACGTGACAATCATTTAAAGTTTGCACAGTAATGGGTATGTATACGCCCTGCTGAGTGCTCATGTAATTCCTAAACCCATTAATTTAAGTCATTCCAAGTAGAAAATGCTAAATATGAATGTGTTGAATTTCCCTGTAAGACTGGGAAACAAAGCAGTTTTTTCTTTTGTTTTATAGTAGCACCATGGACAAAGCTGACAATACACCAGTTAAAGGGGTCTGGGAAGAGAAGAATCAAAAGGACATGTTTTCTCTTAAGGGGAAAAAATTGTCTGAATAATACAGAGTTGAAAGCTCACACTGAATGAGATAGGTATCAAAAGCAATTTAAAAAGCATAAGTATGGGACTATTTGAAAACTATAAAAGTGCAAGGGAGCCCATGCAGTGTAGTGAATCCATGCGTGGAATCAATCACCTACTAATCTGGAGCAAATTTACAGCTACAAACAGGCATAATTAATACACAAATCAAACACACCCAGCAGCAGATGGAATTGAAATCCTAGTCCTTTTAGCAAACATAATGCAAACCTTTTCCTCATATATTCACTAAATGAGACCGTCTGTAGCTGTTTGAAGTAGTGTTGCATACAGGCTAGTGGGGAAATTAGGTGTTTAAAAAATGGCTGCAAATTAATTGTTTTTAATAGCAATTCTACCTCACTAGGACCTTTTAGGAAACGACAGCTTTTAAAAAGTGATGTCTATGCATTTTGTATTTGTGTGCGTATATACTCGGATAGCTCATGCCAAACAGCTTCAGTAAGAATTGAGTTGCTATACTGAGGTTTCATGTTGCCTGAAGTTTTCTGCCACAGGGGCCAGAGGAAGGGACAAAAGTCTCCGTGAAATAAAGAATTCATGGATTGATCCACCTGTAATGGAGATGTCTTCCTAATCTTTCTCTTAGTGATCAACTTGGGTGATAAACCACAGAGCTCAGTCATGTCCAGAAGTATTCTCCCTACCTGAGTAGGTGGGAAGGGGACACTGGATGGAGCTTGGCACCTGTTTTCTTGGCACCCACCTACAGTGCTGCACATTTGTCAAGCCATGCATAAATATCAGGTTGGAAAAATAACTGTTTGCACCAAATGATAGAGCCAGAAAAAGCGCATCAGTAGTGACTAGCCATGACAGGGGTAGACTGACATTTGGAAGATGGTTTCCAGCCAACTTGTCAGTCAGATTTTTGAGAGTTTTTCCAATGGAACCATTGGAACTGAGAAACTCCAAATGATTTTTAGGTGCTACTTGATCTGTTCATGAAAAACTTTCTTCTTGAGGTGTTTCTGATACATCCTCATATGTGTTTCCTGATGTAGGAAGACTCTGGACACAAAAAGCCAGAAGACAGCTTTATTTCTGTGTGTCTAACAGATTTGAATGCTAGTGATGAATGCTAGTGATTCATACACATAGAATTTTAGGTGTCTTGAAAAGAAAGCAGTGATGAAAGAAGCTTAGCTTGCTTGTCTAGAGTTACTCTCAGGAAGAGCTGACATTACTACCACAACTGTTGCTGCTATTACTATTCTACTAACACCACCATTGCCCTTCAGAGGTAATTGCTTTGTTTAACCTGTGCATCTCCATTAGATGCCTGGAATGCTTCAAACCTGCCCGTAAGACCAGCGAGGTCTTACATGAGCATCCATAAATTTGTTTTCTTTTCAAACAGAATGCCCACAGCTATTGAAGCTGGGTTCCATCATATGATGAGGGTTTGAGAATTGGAAAGAGAGGTATTGGTAAATTGAAGGAGAGGATTATTTGTAAAGTGTAAATACAATGTCCAAGGGAATTCCTAGTGCTGTATCTCACAAAAGAGAGTGATAGATTTTTTTTTTCTTCAGCAAATTCAAGCATGTAGGAAAATGCAAATAAGCCCTTGAGAAATGAACTTCTGATAATCTGATGTTTATTGTTAATCTTAACAAGGTGTAATCTTTGTGACATTGCTTCATGGTAATAGAGAGATGAATTTAAGGTAATGCTAGATCTTGGCAAGTTTTGCCATTGCCAGTTAAGGGGTGGGAGGTATCAAATTGATTGACTGATACTAAAACAAGCAGTTCTGAAGAGGCATTTTCAGAGAGTTGATGTGAAAAAAAAAGGGAGGAGGGTAATTCTTGAGTATTTTCCATAGGCCAGTTTATCACTTGCCATTTGTGCTGATCTTTAGTGTCTTGTCGGAGGGGGAAAAAAATTGCTCACATTGGTCCAAGGTTAAATATATAGCCAATATAACCTTTTTTTTTTTTAATTTTATTGAGGAATTAGCAATAAGATTTTATATTCTACCTGAAAAGAAAATGTTAAATGATTACTGTAGTGGGAAATTAAATAGCACTTTTCTCATGCCTGCTAAAAAGCCATCTAAGGAAGTGGTGGCCTTCAAACAAGTTTCTAAGTTATTTAAATTTAGAAAAATTTTAAGATTTTTTTAAAACTCAGGCAATGCTATGTATTTCATTGGTATAAAGGAATCTTTAATTTTCAAGGTACTAATTAAATAAGTTCTATATGCTACATATTCCTGCAAAAACAAGGAGGAAAGACAAATTTTTCAAAATGTGTGTGAATAGAAATTACATCTGGTGTTATCACCTTAATTTATGAGATAGGTTTTTAAGTTGCTGCTTACTCTTACATAAAATATTTGCTCTAATTAGGTAATAAAAGAATAGAAAAGGAAAAATCACTTAATACTTCAGCTCTACCCTCAGCTTCTAATGAGTTCATATTTCTTGAGCAGAGAAGCATTACAATATATTTCAATTCAGTCATCACAAGCAAGCCACCAGGGAGTTACATCCAGCTGCATTCCTGAGAAGCTGTGCACAACCTTTAAAAATTGGTCATGCAGCCACATCCTAGCTTTCCCACATAAACCTCTGTGCCCCAGTGAATCTGGAAGAACGTGATAATAAAAAAAGGATGTAACTATTCAGAAAATTTTCACTTCATGTGTTAATATCACAGCACAGGAGGTCAGTTTAGATAGAGGTATGGAAATCCAATACTGCCCAGCTGTGGATGGACAGGCTTTGTATCTGTGCCCTTCAACACGACACATACCAACTCTCATGAGAAATGTGAATGGTATTTGACAGTGGAAGCCTGCTAAATCCCTCTAATGATTGTAAGTTTGATTGTAAATGGCTGGATTTTAGGAATTAGCTGGTGCATTAAGAAATAAAGGACCAGAGAATAATGCATTGCATAGCACTCTTTCATTTGTTCTGATAATTGATTTAATTTTAATTTTGTATTTCTTTCATTATCAGCAAGTGTGCTGATAATGTTTAAAAATTATGAGTAATAAAAATTACAAGATCCCACCAGGGCTCTCTGATTATTTTTGATGAAAGGCAGGAAAAGTGCTATTTTATCTTTTGATAAAAGCATGTATTTAACCCTACTTTCATTTACAAGCTAATTGTTGCAATTTAACCACTGGTTCATGGAATGATTCTTGATGCAGGACATAGCTGCAGAACTAAAGAGTCTGTTAGATGTCTGTCTGTCTGTCTGTCTAGAATATTGATTATTTTTTTTTTTTCCCCCACAGGGATTATTATTTGACAACTGGGTTATAGGCATGTGGTACTTTCCCTTTTGGATTTTGTCATCCCAAAGAGTTTGTCCTCCATTTTATTGGCAGCACAAGATTTTGGCATGCCAAAATGAAGGCTAATGATTTGTGAACATAATAATCCTTCATGAGCCTTCACTGTCAACCCTTTCCCTCCCTGCTCCTGTCCACACACCTCCAGCCTGTCCAGGCCACTTGTTTCTTTCTCCTTTCCTGCACTTCACTTCTCTTGTGTGATGCAAATATTGTACATCTGTGTGTAAAACAGAGCAGGGAAACTGCTCCAGGGGAATAAAAAAGCTTTGCCCTGCATTAATTCTGTTCTGTTCATTGTTCCCATGCACCAGCATGCAAGGAAACAGGGTATAAAGATGGAAGTGGGAAGATGGAAGTGCTTTCAACAGCAGTGGTGGCTTAAATAGTAAATGACAGTAAGGAGTAAAGGCTGAAAATTGTGCATTTTGTCTTTAGGGATTAAGTTCTACACTGTTGTTCTTTATATTTGGACTTCCAAAGAATTTTTTTTGTTTTGAATAAACTGAAAGAGTGGGGTGAAAAAAGTATTTTGTGAAAAAATACTACAGTTACAAAAGAAGAAAGACTTGGAGGAAGTTGGAGCACAGTTTATTTAAATGTTGCATACACTCAGTGGAAAGGGAAGTAAGTGGAGAGGAGGCATTGTGTGTTGCCTTCAAATTGCATCCATGCTTTAGGCTTTTGCAGTGCTTTCTACAGGACAATAAAGGAAGGCATGCACAGACTATCTTGCAGTCACTTGTCCCCAGGTGGTAAATGACATTCAGCTTTATGATTTGTTGCCATTTAGCCTTCAATGTGGGAAAAGGCAGTAGCTGAAAACCCCAAGCCTAAATGCCACCCTGGTTGTAGCTTCTTGCTCTGCCCCAAAGCTGCCCTGGCTGGGCCATGTTTTCCACTTATGGTGTAGGTAGAAATCTAAACTCCGGCCTGCTGTGTGCCAGCATTTGCACTGCTGGTCCCTGCCAGAAAATAGCAGCAGTCAGGAGGCTCCTCTGCCCCGCACAGTCAGCAGCAGCTTCTGCTGACGCCTGAAGTACCATTTACCATTTGCTGAATGAGGGCCAGTGAAATCCCCTTTTTGAAAGATACTTGAATCCAAGATAATCTTAAAAGACATGTTTCTGCAAAGGGACTAAAGAGTGCAGCTATTGGTGCTGGTTTGTTGCCTGTGTACTGGCTGTGAGCAGCTGCCAGGCAGCAAATGGGGCAGCAGACATCGGGAAGCAAATGGAAACCCTGTGGGCAGCTTGCAAATCAGCAGTATATAGTCATAACCAGTACTTCCCTGGAAAACAGTTGGATTTGGGGTTGGGCTTTTGCTTTCATTTTTCTAAGCAGGAAACATGTTCAAAACTCCAACTTTCCTCCTGTTACTTGTTTCAGTTATGTTCAGGGAAATTGGACTTTGGAAATCAGGGTAAGGGGGGAAAGAGATTAGTAGCATTACATCAAAGAACTATCCAAGTCTTATCATGGTTCTCCTTTGGGCAATAGGTAGATAAGGAAGATAGGCTCAATTGTGTCCAGCTGCCCCTACTGTACTGCAGACAGATTGCACTCCAGGCAGAGAAATCATCTGAATGGAAATCAGTAATTCATTCTTTATTTCCCTTCATGTAACATGGAGTTTGGTATTGCTATTTTACGTGCAATTACCGTGTATACATACCAAAATGTTTCAGAATACTCCCCAGATTGTAACCCTTTTATGTCAGCTCTAGGTAGGAGAAACAAAATCCATGGTAAGGAATGAATAAATGACATTACAATGACAAAATTGAACTTCTAGCACTGGGACGGATGTCTCGTATCAGAGGTTGCATATTTTTGAACAAAGTCATGAATTTGCATATATTTGTTTGAGCAGGTAAGGAAGTTTGAAATATAGCAAGTTTAATTTTACCAAATAGTAAAAAACTGTCATATCTGATCCAAGACTTCTCAAATTACCTACATTGAGGGAAATCAATTTATTCTTTTCTGTTAGATGCCTGAAAAGATAAATTCACTGACCCTGAAAATATATCTCTTTTTATTCTTGCCCACATCCATAATCCTCCTTTCTTAATAGATGAAAGTCATAATTAACATGCCACTGGAGAGTTACATTACTTCTTCAGAATTACCTCTTAATTTACTACATTAACCTGATTAAGTAATGAATTCATAATTTCCAGTTTTTCCTTAAGAATATAAAATATCTCATTTTTGATCAGGCAGTACTAAACAAAGCTGCAACTGAGGAAGATATTTTGGCCTAGATCCATTTTCCTAAAGATTCTTTCAAAGTCTTTCCTTAATGCACACCTAAATGCTGAGGGCTGCAGAGCCCCACAGGCCCTCTCTGCCTGCAGACCTTGCAGCCACAGAGCTGGAAGCAAAGCACAGTGGCCTGACAAGCTGTGCCCACTGCACTGGGAGCCACAACACAGGAGGAGAGAGCCACAACAAAGTGTGCTGTAGACCACAATCCCACTGCTGTGACACAGCACTTTACTGAAATGATGGGTTGAACTGACACCAGAGATGTCCCATCACATTCCTGCAGTGGTGATCCCTTCCATTGATGGAAGGACAAGAAAACTCTGATTTTTTTTTTCTTTTTCCCCAAATTCCACAATTTTTTATGCATCGGTGGCAAAAACACAATCCTACCCTCACCTGTATGTGACAGAAAACTTTGGTGATTTTCTGCATTCAATTTTTGAGAACTGTGGGTGATATTTTTATTGCCGTTAAGAAAACACCATTAGCAATTAATTACTGTAGTTTCTTCTAATTTGTCTGTAGCAAATGAGAAAGTATCATATTCTTCCCTTTCCCTCTGTCAGGAGAATCTGGTCTTCACTCCATGCAGTCTTTCCCATTTAACCCAAGAGGCTCTGTTAAGCAGCTAACTCACTGACTGAGTCTATTAATGTGCTCAGTAGCCTAATTCGTGTCAAATATGCACTGATTGCCATTCAAGTGTCAGCCTGTGCTCCTTGTAGAAGCTGTACTTGGAAGGAAGACTTGTAGGTTGCTCCATGAACTCAAGGTTGAAGGTATCATAATTGCTATAGGTGGAAATTCTCTGAGGCCTTTGGAAAGGTTTAGTGACCAGGCTGTGTGTCTGTGTGGGAACACAGACTGGCAAAAAGTGGCTTGTTCTGCCCTGAGGCCACTGATAAAATCCTGAGAGAGGAACTCACTTGGTCATTGGAGCTTGAGTGAGATGGAGACTGATGTGTGTGTGTGTGTGTGTATATATATATATAGACATATATAGATATATATAAATAATAGATTGAGAAAGCCAAACCACAAATAAATAACCATAAGAGAGAGAGACCTGACAAATTAAAAGTACTTCTCCAGAAACTGTTACAAGAAAAAGGTAAGAGGAAGTGAACTGATACAAAACCATGTGAATTTGCAGTAAAATTGCCATGCTATTTCAATGTGAACCCACAAAAGGCAGCAAGTTCTCTCATGCAGCTGTTTCCCTGGTACACCAGGGCTGTGTGTTTATCTCTCCAATGAGTGTGAAGGTAATGGAGATTTAGCTTTGTCAGAAAATTGAACCGGATAGCTAGAAATCAAGAATTAAACTCTTTCCTACGTACCTACTTGAAGTCTAAATGTGGAAGAAAAATCTCCCATAGGACTGTCAGTCAGTCTCATGTGTGCTGTATTTTATGTGTCTTAAATTACACTCCAGTGAGGCTTCTGTGCTCCAGAGCTGTCAATGTACCACCACTTGCCTGTATCTGTGGAAAATAAATCACTACTTTGAGTGCCAGAATACTGTTGGTTTAACTCTTACATCTTTTTGTCTCCTCATGTCCTACTGCCATCCCCACCCACTCCTCCCTTCACAACTTCTGTTCTTTCAACCAATCTGGAGAGAAGGGGCAGAATTCTCAAAAATAGTTAAGGACATAGATATTTTGTGAAAATCAGCAACTCAGTAGCTGAGAGAAGCCTAAATTAGCTGTTGGCACTTGTGCCACAGAGAGGTGGATGGGAGCCTGCAGTGCTGCTGCCCAAAAAGGCAACTTGGTGGCTGTACCTGGCTGCCTTTCTGCAAGGGCCTTTCTTTCAGGGCTGTGGTGGCTGAAGGGATGAGTGGAGAGCTGCCTTGGTGCTGCTTTGAGCAGCAGGCAGTGCAATGGACCTTCAGGAGCCTTTTCCCACTTGCAGCTGGAGGACTTGATTTCAGTGCTCTGCAGCATAACTGAATAAAGCCCTGAGAGGAAGCAACAACACCCTCATCTCTTTGTCATCTTTCTCCTATTTCTACTTCATCCCTGAGTGTGAAGCACTGCTATTGTCCTTCCTCTTTTTCTGCAAGAGAGAAGTACCCTTATGCTTTCCTTTTTTCTATTTTGGTGCACTGAAATTAGAGGGGAAAATGACTGCTACTAGACTTCCTGTGCAAGGTTGAGTTGTATAATTTTGGTCTTTCCAGCACAGAATGTGCTGTTATGAATTTTTTTTTACCATGAATGCAGAAAGACCTCTTAAATATTTGAGTCCTGTAAGTATTTTTATGATAAAAAGCATTCCCTTGTTTAATAATTTTCATTTTCTTCTCAAAAGAAACATTGATTTTCTATCTAGCTTTCCTTAGAAGCTACCACTCAGTTTTAACATAGAAAATGAAAGTTTTAGGGAGGGGAAATCCAGAAAAGTGAACCCCTGAATATTGACACATTTGGATTATTTTAATGTTTATTAACAATCCGCACTGGCTGACTACACAAGGGATACTCTCTTGCAAGCGTATATGAACAGCTCCTTGGCTAATGCTCATCAATCTGAGGAAGGAAACCAGGCAACACACTGTGAGATGCTGACCCTGCTGCTTGTCTCCATGCCATATGGCAGCAGAAGATCATGTTGGCACTTGGCCCTGGAAGCTCTTTGCCCAAGCCCACTGCTGTGTACAGAAGCAGTGCTTCAGCCCTGGCCATTAATGATGTGCACGTGTCAGACGACAATGCTGAAACCTGCAGTAACCTTGTAAACCTGGGCCAGGCACAAACACTCTGAGGACAAACACACTGCAACATTTAAGTATAAAAAAGATTGTTTGATGTGCTTTAATATACTGGAAGTGAGTAAAAGAAATTCCACTCCAACTTTAAGAGAAATTTGACTGTAAAGAATCACATCTCTGTCTAGTCTGGGTTTTATCAGGGTGAATTCATCCCATATAGAAATGTTATAAGCCTGTCAATGCTCTTTGCTTACTGTTAAATTCTTTGATAATTTTATGTTTAGCTATTTCTCTTG